GGGATGAGGCACAGTGGGGACAGGGTCTCCCTTTTTTGCTGGGGAAGGAAAGCACAAGGTGGTTAACAGCAGAACCAAAGGCTGCTCCCTGCTTCAAAGCCTCCCAAACTGGCCTGCTGGACGTGGGAGAGAAAACTAACAAACCCAAACCCAAGTCCTTCCAGGGCCGCGGGCGGGTGCTGCAGGATCCAAGGCCTGTGGAGCTCTCTGACCTTGACTCCTAAGCCCACTCCACCTGACTCACTGGGACTTCAGCCCCACCTCTTCACCACCCCCCTGCCCTCTCCCAGTCCTCCTCCCTGGGGAGCTCTGGGGTCACAGCTGGGCCACTGCTCCTCCTAAGAGCCCTGGCTGAAGTGGCTGCCTCAGTCTCCTGCCTTTCACATCTCCAGGTCACCTTCTTCTCCGCACTCCTCATTTGGGAGGTCTCTCTGGGGATGGTTGGTTTCTTCCAACCTATAGAATAAGTGCCCGGTCCAGACAAAGCCTCCCTAAGTATATGGTGAGCGAAGGAATCTGGTGGGGTGGGGGTGGGTGGGGAGCAAGGCTGGAGACAGAAACAGGACCAGACACGCGGCCTTGCTTCTTTCTCTTCTCTTCTAGAATTTTCAGGTCTAAGCCTTTCCATCTTTTCCAATCCGAAGACTATATGGATGATGCCAGAAGGTGTTTATTGTGTGTGAGAGATGCAGAGAGCGTACGCTAAGATTAACAGGACAAAGGAAAAGCCTATTTCTAAAAAGGAGGATCAGACAGGAGAGGCTGTCCCTACCAGACGCTGACACACTGCCAAAAAACCCACACCCTCTGCCCTTAGTCCAGGCTGACTCACAGCGACCCCACAGGACAGGGCAGAGCTGCCCCTGTGGGTTTCCGAGAGGGTCACGCTCTACGGAACGGAGCGCCTCGTCTTTCTCCTGTGGCGCGGCTGGGGGTCTCCAAATGCCGACCCTGCATCCGGTAGCCCACGGCATAACCATTGCTCGGCCAGGGCTCCAAAGACCCTGCATCCGGTAGCCCACGGCATAACCATTGCTCGGCCAGGGCTCCAAAGATGCCCTACAGAGCCGTCATAGAACGCAGTGAACCGATGGAGAGGGCAGAGCTCCTAAGCAGAACACTGTATCTATGAGAACTGGCTGCTTACAAAGGGCAAGCCACACATCAGCTGGGAGAGTCGCGGATGGGGTTGGCTGTTCATTTTCTGCCCGTCCCCGTGGGTGAGGAATTCCGGAGTGGCTTAGCTGGGCACAAGTCTCTCAGGGAGGTGCAGTCAAGAGACCAGGCAGGGCTGCAGTCATCTGAAGGCTCGACTGGATCTGAAGGATGTTTCAGAGAGAGCTCGCGCGCACACGCCAGCTGTTGGCAGGAAGCATCCGAGTCCTGTTGTGTAAGTGACCGCATGGCATGGCAGCTGGCCTCCCCGGAGCAAATGAGCCAAGAGTGCGGGGCAGAGACTGCCGTGTCTTTGAGGGGCCTGGTTCAGAAGTCACATGTCAGCATATCAATAGCCTGCTCGCCACAGAGGTGGGGCCTGTTCGGTGAGGGAGGGGGTCACACCGGGGATGCAACGGAAGCACGGAAGGCCGACTCAGAAGCTGGCTCCAGAGTCCAGTCTGGCCCCCGCTGACTCACATGCAAAATACACTCGCCCTCCAAACGTCTCGTCTCCTGACATCATCAGCTGGAAGGGCAGGTCCTTGTCATCAAAGTCAGAGCCCGGTGGGGATGGGCAGCCCAAACTACGGCTCCTTAACATGTTGCCTCTGGATCTAAAGACCTGTGAGCGGAAGGGCGATGAGACCTGCCTCCACACACCCAGGACACAGTGGTAAGAAAGGCCTCGGATAACCAGTCGGTCTCATTCGCGGCGGCGGAAGCAGGAGGCACGTCGTAGCCGCTGTGTGGCTTCGTTCCTGGGTTCCTACCCCTCTCTAGGAGTGATTCCTCGGCGCTCTTCTCACCGGAGGGTGGCTGCTGGCACCTCCTTTTCTCAGCCTGCTTGCTGCCTGTGCAAACGCCCTTTCTCCTCCTTCTGCAAGCTCTCCAAAGGAGCCCGGTTGCTGCCAAGGAATCTTTCGGGATTTCACTTCCTTCCACCCAAAAGTCACACCCATCCACCTGAGACAAGTCCGAGTCTTTCTGGGGGTTGTGCTGAGACTGCAGAGGGGCACTTGTTTGTTTGTTTGTTTCAGCCATAGTTCAATCGTGTCAAGCAGCATTGTACAACTGCTACCCAGAGGCTCAGTTGTAACATTCTGTGAAGCCCTAGCATTGTGAGGAATCACACTGTGGGTGGGCACCCTCTCCCCTGGCCCAAGGTCATAAAAGGAGTTTGCAGTTGGAACTCAATGTTGTCTTGAGGCCGTGTTTTCCTGAGAAGGCTCTTTGTTCATTTTGACTTCTTCGTTATCTAGGAAGGCTGGGCAGGCGAACGCCCAACCAGTCCTGGCTCCTCCTGTTCATGGTTCTGCCCTCTCCTGACGCCTTTTACTACCAGCAACTAAACAGCAAGCAGACGCTTCAGCACTGCTTGGAAGTCTCCTCTATCATCCCCAGTTTCTTAGGTAAATGTTCTACGTTCTATGCTATCGGAATCTCAAAGGGCGGCTGGAGAAGAGAGTGTAAAATATTATTAATAAAATGGGCAAACACCTAGCTGGAAAACCGAACCAGGAAGAACATGCTCAGCTTCAACGGAAAAGAACTCGAGAAAAAATTCAAGCCTTGAGTTGCAACCTTGAAAGATCCCGAGGGCAAAACACTGACTGATGCAGGAGGCATCCAGAGCGGATGGGAAGCACAGTTACTGTCCCAAAAGGAAGCCGCTGACATCCAGCCGTTCCAAGAGGTAGCTTAGGAGCAAGCACCGTTGGTATTGACGGGAGGAGTCAAGTTGCCCTGAAAGTATTGGCAAGGCTCCAGGAATGGATGGGACACCAACTGAAATGTTTCAACAAGCTGATGAAGCACTGGAAGCACTCGCTCGTTTATGCAAGGATATTTGGGAAACAAAAAAGGTGCTACTTGGCAACTGACTGGACGAGACCCTGTTTGTACACCTTCCCAAGAAACAGAATGCTCAAACCGTAGGGCAGCATCAACGATA